TTGAAAAAAAAATAATATATCTTTTTCCCAGAAATGTAATGTTATCCCTTAATCAATCGATGGCAGTAACAAAACGCGGATTTCCGTTAGAGAAAGGAAAAAATACGGAGAAAAAAAAAAAAAACAAAACAGCCACAGCCACAGCCACAGCCACCACTTCAAAATCTCTCTCTCTTCTGCGATTTTTTGTTTTTGGACAGCCACTCCGCGCCTTCTTTCTCGCCCTATATCCTTCCTTTCTTTCACCTTCTTCCTCCTCTAAACACTTCCATTTCCCATTTCATTTCAATCTTTTTACATTCTCTCTCTCTCTCTCTCTAAGACTGAAACATGATCAACTGCGTCAACGTGGATTCCACGTCTACGATTTTGCCACGTGGCCATCCAACATTTACACTGGGCCCCGCTTCTTCTTTCTCTCGTGAGGGCTTTTGTGGTCTTTTCCTTTTTCTTTTTCTTTTTCTTTTTTTTTTGTTGTAATTCTTAGTTCATTAATTATTTTAATTCATCTCTTTTTTGCCAAAATAAATACCTCTTTGGCTACCTTCAAATCTACGTCATCTTTTTCTTTTTTTTTTCTTCCCCTCTATTAATAATTTTATTTTTATAATAAATTTTTAATTAGTGTTATTCTATAAAAATATATTCATATTTATTAACAAAATAATTTAGCGATATAATTAAAGTTACTTGTTGGTAACATATATTTTTTAAAAGTTAATTTAAATATTGACGAACGATAAAATTTATTTAAAATTAAAATTGTGTAAGTTTCGAGGTATAAATTTATTTATTTTATTGGTTGTTTTTTTGCTTCTTACTTTATTTTTTTTATTTTTTTCATTATTATGGTTGTTGGTAGTCACAATATGTAGTTGAATAATGATGAGTATGAATTAATATACTATAAAGTATAAAGCAAGTAAAACACAATGTGAGAATATCTTCTGCTTTTTTATTTTTTCTATTTTTTTAATTATATTTCTCATGAACAAAAAATATAAATAAATTGACGTTTGTCCAAGGCTTTCATGTACAATGGAGTAATTGTTAGACAATTATAATTTTGTATTTTAAATTTAAAAATTAATATAAATTTTGTTATAAAAAATTATTGAACTCCAAGAGATTTAATGAGGGAGTGGTGGGGGAGGGAGGGAGGATAGAGACAGATACCTACCTAGGACTAAGAGTAATTACACTAAATATAAATGGGATAAGAGATTTAAATTATTTTAACATATAAATTAAATTAATAAAAATATATAAACTTTATATTTTATATAAAAATATTCTTAATTTTGAAAAGTTTGAATAATACCTCTAAATTTGAAAAAAAAAAATTTAACATTTTGTTTTAAAAAAATACCCATATACTTTTCTTTTCTTTTTTAATTAAAAAAATTCTTTAATGAAATTTTAAAAGTAGCATTTAATATCATTTATCTTTATTTTTTAAAAAAACAAATAAATTACCATCATTAATATATGAATAAGAATTATATATTAGACACTTAATATCTCGACTTTTTAATATTATTTTTAAATTTTCGTGAGTATTTTTAAAAGTGATATTAACCGTAAAAATATTTTTTAAATTTTTTAAAAATTTTAAAGATGTTTTTGAAGCTTTTAAAAAAAACATTTAAGTGTTTTTTAAGTTAAAAAAAAGTATTTATTAAACCCTCTTTTATACCTTCTTAAAATATTTATGAAATAAAATATTAACAATTTTTATAAAATAAAAAAATAATAATAAATAATATATATATATATATATATATATTTTTTTTTTTTTAAATTTAAAGATATCATTAAAATTTTGGAAATTTGTGGTGTTTCTTTTTTTTTTTATAGATAGAATGCAAAGTTGGATAATTATTAATTTAGCAAAAAAAAAAATATATATATATATATATATATATATTTATATTTATATCATATTAGATGTCCAATTCTATGATAAAGACAATTCACAAATTACAACGTGCATATGCGGTGATAGATTAGGTGAAATTTGACCCGCATCAAGCAAAAGAATTTTATATAATTTTTTCCAATTCTAAAAAGTAATTTTAAATAAATCAAACACGATAATTATTTTCGTTTTTACAACGTATAACTACTACTAGAACAGTTGTTATTATTATTATTATTAATTTAAAGATTAATTAGGTCACAATACAGTCTTCTTAATTGTTTCTACTTACTACATTTTTTATTGTGTGGTTTAAATATTTACGTGGGGTTGAGTATTATGCTTTCAATAATTAAATATGAAATATAATATAAAATTTTGGGTGGCTTAAAAGAACACTTTTTTATATCTATTTTTATTTGGAAGCTTTTAATTTTATTGAATTTTTTAATTTAAAAACTCAATATGCTTATAAATTTTATTATGATATAATTTAATTTGATTATATAATAAATGTGGCTAAGATTTAATAGGCTTTCTTAAAATATATAGATTAATAGAGTAATTAAAGATTAAATGAACTTAGGTTATAAATATATAGTTGTTGAACTATAAATAAATAAATAAATAAAAAGAGAAATTGTTGGGGATTAAAGAAAATTATTCAACAAATAAAGTTATTAAAGATGCATTTGCACATTCCTTTTATGCCCTTCACTAGCATTGCTTGGCCCCTCGTCCCCTCAATATCTACAAAAACACCCTTTAATATATTTTAGTTATTCTTTATCAACCAAATAATTTTCTACAAATGCCAATAAATATATATATATTAGCGTAAAATGATGATTTGGTATATGAATGTGTTGGACGATGAAAGTCCAACATCGATTGATTTAAGAAATAATTATAGGTTTATAATTGAAAAATATTGTTTCCATTAGTACAAAGTCTTTTTGGGAATTCTAAAGTAAAACCACGAGAGCTTATGCTCAAGATAGATAATATCTCATAGACATTGAGAAGTTCTCATTTTTAAATGGTCAATATTTAAATAAAAATAGAATTTATTTACGGAGAGAGAGAAAAATGGGGCTGAAGAAGAGAGAAAAGGAAAGGAAAACAGAAAAGATATTTGGGTGAGGGTCCCACAGTGTGAAGAACGAGAAAAGAAGCGCGTGAAAGTGGGTCCCAACAAAATTTGATTACACCAGCACGATGCGGGCGAGGGAAGAGGCGCGATTTTATCCAATTTCCACTTTATTTATTTATTTTCATTTTAATAATTAAGTTTTTGTGGTTTAAAAAATGCTTAATTTTTTATCCCCAACTTAGATAACATTCCACGTGTATTTTTATTGATTAATGTAATTAATTTAATTTCAAATTTCATCCATTTTCTACTATAAATTCAACATTTAGATTTTAAATTTCATGTTTATTTAGTCATTATTTAAATACTGGAATTGAATAGATAGCATTTGTTCTTTTATTTTATCATTTTTTTCTCTACGTATTTTGAATTAATTCAATAATAATTTTTCTTGCTAATTTAATGAAATTTGGAAAGAAAACTCATTTAAAATTAACTTAAAATATAGTCAAAATTGATTAATTGATGAAATTAATGAACCTAATATAGTACTACCAAATGTCAAGATTACAGTGACTTTGCTGAACATTTAATGCTACAATATCTTATTATGCTACTCACTAAACATTTAATGTGAGATTATTTTATTTTATGGAAGATAATGTTAACAAAAATAGTAGAGTAACGTGAACGTAAGCATATAACTTAATGATAATGTGATACCCTAGTAAATGAGAGATACATGAATGAATCGATATTACATCTAAACGAGAGTGATTTTAACGATAAGGTGACTGTAAAAAGATTTAAATGATATGAAATTTGCTAACAATATCAACCGTATGTACCTCATTTTTAGTAACTTGATTATAGAAACTTTATGGTTAAACGTGTTTTATTTCGAGTAATTCAATACTGAACGACCTCATATAAATTTTGCTGAAATACACGTGAATGAGAACAAAACATGTTGGAATGACTTGTGTTAGTATGTGAGAATAGTATTGACTCTTAAGGTGCCAAGAGTAAGTAACGTGCTCATGTTGTAGTGCATACAACATGATGGCTCCTGACATGCTATAATGACTCGTATTAGTTTGTGTGGATGGTCTTCATTTTTAAGAAACGAAAAGTAGATAATGTGACTATGTCACAGAGAAATGTCGAGACCATACTATGTCAAATCTACGTTTCGAATCTTGAATCAAATTACGGGCATAGGTCACCATGGATAATTATCACATATCAAGGTTCAAGTCATTATATTTTATTTATTGTAATAAAAAAGGAAAAAAATAGAAAGTGAATGTACGGCAAAAATATTGTTTATGGGATAAATAAAATTATTTTTTATTGCATGATATAATTATTAAATAAATATTGAAATGGAAAATTACATACAAATTTCAATTTAGGATAAGTTACTATATTCGGCCACCGCTGCATTGTGACAATAAATAATATTAAAGAAATAATGATAATCACAAAATGCCAATAACCACATTGGGGGCTGATCCAACCCTCGTGGGCCCATAGGCCACATCATACATTGGGCCAATATGGGACAGCTGCAACCCTCATGGGCCTCGAGGTTTTTGGGCCCAACGTCACTCTTGCTGGGTGATGAAAGTTTTATAATAAATAAATACTCTCTTTTGTGGAGAGTCGTGTTCGTCTGATATTAGAATCATATTCTTTGGTCTGGTATTAGAGTCATATTTTAAATTTAGTCGTGCCAATATATTGATAAATTCTTAAATGTCGAACAAAGCACTCCAAAAGAAAAGGAGTCAAGCCTCCTAAGGGGAGACGTACTTTGTTCGTCTAACATGATATTAGAACTCCTTTAAATATCGAATAAAGGACTCAGTAGTGCCAATTGGTAAATCCTCAAATATCAAAATAGAGGACTTGAAAAGAAAATTAGGGGAAGGTGTTCAAGGAGAAGTTGGAAAATGTTGGAGGATGAAAACTGGCATCATCAAAGTGTACTATATTTAGCTCTAGAGATATGATAGAAGATGGTTCCCATTGCCTCTTAGTTACTTGCACTCGAGCTTCAACTCCATACCAACTCCCGATCGATGGACGAAAATCTGAAAATCCAACGCTTTGAAGTTCCTCCTTCGGCCTCAAACTTCGAGTTTCTCATCGAATCTCGCGACGTTCCCGCTGTAATATTTGTGAAAGTTCCTCTGATTTTTGATTCGTAGGTAATTCCATTGCATCATCTTCCGTTTCTTATGTTCTATGGCTCCGAAGGTTCTTGTAGGAGGCGTTATGGACTGGAGATCTTTATCGGAGTGGATTTCGTACAATGGCGGCCTTGGCAATCTACAGGTTGTATTTCAACGTTCCCGCTGTAAGCTAGCTTGTTTTGATATATATATATATATATTTTACAATTTAATCCTTGTAATTAAAAAGACGTAATCAATAAGTGCCTTGTCAAAGATTCCTCTGTAATTCAGCCATAGGAATAAGTTGGCATTTACCAATGCATAGGTAACTCCAAATAAGATTTGTAATGAATTTGTTGATGTAAAACATTTAACCGTTACATTTTTTAACAAGTACGAGGAGAATGTTGCTGTAAAGAAAAGTAGGAAGACTAGAACGTTATAAATGTCATAATATTGGGACTCTCGTGGAGTATTGTGCTTAAGATCAAGTTATTCTGGCCTATGTTTGAAAGCTTGTAAGCTATGATCACTAACTGTATGATGAAAATTTATAGATTGAGTTTGAATACTCAGTATCTCCATGAATATTGCATTATGCTTTTTTCTCATTAAGGCTATTGTGATAGAGTTGGGTTTGACATCTTTAAAATTAAGGTCAGAACGAAGTTTTGCATGTGCCTTGTTCTCTTGCTGACATGAATGAAACAAAGAACCATGAGCATGTCGTACCAAGTATCAGAAGGTTGGGTAAAGTTCTCTTCCCCACTCTAGATTTCTCAATAGTGTTTTTAACTCTCTCATAAGTGAGAGAATAGGGTTTAGAAGTTGCATTTTAAATTTGGTGGTTGAGGCAATTTGGTATATTGATCTTTGTTATTAATTGCCAGATCAAGGAGTTCAATGTTTGAGTCAATTACTTGAAGGTGGGGATTTGAGAGAAAAAGAGCTAAGGGAAGAAACTTATTCTCATAGGCTTATTACTATAGTTCATGACCACATAAGCGCTTCCGATCAAATTAAACACCTACAATCAAGTTCTACAAAAGGTTCTGCAGATGAGGTGGAGAGGATGGAGATGACTAGTTTACAGAGCTTGGAGAACGATCAAATAGCTACCTTTATTTGGAATTTGGAACCATGTATTCTTCAAAAGTTCCTTCTCACCACGGCGGTGATTTCTTTTGACTTCCCCATTACATTTACAAGGTTGAAATTGTTTTCATGGAAGGCCTTGAGGAAACTAGTTTATTCCAATTGTTCTGGTCTAATTAATATACTAAGCTTTCTCATTATTGAAATAGATGCATGAATATATTCGATGGATGTCGAACTATTTGTTTTAGTCGATAGATGTGTGAAATTATTCCTCTTTTTCTTGTTTTCCCCTTCTTTGTTTCTTCCTTAGCTTGTCATCTTATCCTACTTTCTTTTCCATCTATAATGACTTCCCAAGAACTCTAGAGGCTCTTATACTGCACTTGCCTTCTCCAGTTGGAGCAGAAGTTCTTACTCGAAAATTTGATTAGATGGATCAAGGAAACACCGATGAGGATCAGTTTATTATATTCTTACAAAAAAAAAAAAAAAAAAAAAAAAAAAAAAAAAAAAAAAAAAAAAAAAAAAAAA